GAATCGAGTGAGATCACAAAAATATCTTGAACATTATAAAGTGATATAAAAAAATATAACATTACTATTGCCAAGCAGTAGCTTTAGTAAGGCTTTACTAATGCTCTATACTTCTGCTTAATTGATTTTATAAATATTACAATATTAAATTATAGTATAATACAATTAAATATATTATAGTTTGTACTTAGATTTCATATGTACTGATATCAACTGGACAATATTGTAACAATGCATAAACATTTCCTTTAAACGAGTTTGGGAATATTACTTCTCAGTAATGAATACAGAGCTCCTTGATATGAATAATTTTAATAAACATTGTCTAATGACAAGGGGGAGTTTAGGAAGAAAAGAATATGGCAACAATTACAAATTATATTCCAGTCTCCACTGGGGGAAACAGCATATGTTACTTTTTAAATGATTAGAGATTTTGTAACCTAGGGAATTTTTTGTTTGTTTTGTAAATTCTAGAGAGGTTAAGAATAAAGTTAAAGGAGAAATCTTAAAAATGGCATGTTCCTAAATGACTAGACTATTATTTGAGTAATATAATAATCTTAGATGAATATTTACTCAAACCCTTCTGAATAAATATTTTCACAATTTTAAGAATTCAATGTACTCTTTGATAGTACACTTTTTCATATGGGTGCTGGTTTTTATTTCTGATGCTGTATTACTATTCACTGAGTAATAATTTAACCTGCGTCCTCAACCAATTCAAACATAACTAATTTCAACAAAAACTATTAAGGTCAAAAGTAATGCATGGAAGAGAATAAGCAGTATTTCTGAAGTTGGTAAATGACAACAATTCAAATTTGAATCATATTTTACCATTTTTAGTCAGTATGTAATTTTAAGTAGAATTTATCAAATGGTATATAGAGGACTATATTCATTTGTTGACATTTATCAGCAATTTAAAACAGTGAACAAAAAAGCGAAAATATTTGAAGACTACTGAAAGTGTCATTCTTTTATTGACATTCAAGAATGCAAACTTCCTAAACTTGAGGTATAATAAAAAAATTCCTAAAGCGGAAAAGCTGCTTGATTTTACACATACAACTTTGCCTAAAACAGTTTAAGCCTCTCTGGAATTAGCCATCAACAAAACAATCAAAACATTAAGAATTGAGCTACACAAATGACAGGGATTTTTTTTTTTTTAATTGTATTTACTTGAGGTCTAATGCTTCAGTGAGATTTACAGAGAGAGGATGAAGTTGAGACTTCAGAATTACCCAAATTGGGATGACTTACACACATTTATGAAAACTTTTGCTTAGGTACTACATAAATAAACAGTGTGTCTACAAGTATAATGTTTAGATTAAGAGAAATAAAATACAGTCTTTTGTTATGTGAGAAAAAACTTGACAGTTTAATATAATGGTGGTGTTCAGTTGACAATTTCAAGATGCAGCTAAGCCCCTCATTTTCTTAATTTTTTTCTTTTCTTTTTTTTCTTTTTACTTAGGAGTCTTTGCCTGTCAACTACATGCACTAACCTCACCTTCATCACTGTTTAGCCGTAAATACTCCATCTGGGACATTCACTGAATAAACACAGGCTTCATATTTTAATGCCATCTTTGATGAAGTCTGGTCTGTGGGCCACCCTATTAATTAGCAAGGCAATGTTGGACCTGTGTCCAGGTGGTCCAACACTAGATGAGTGGGGCAATGTTAAAGGCAGGTGACACATAAGCGAAGCTTTTATTTCTAACTGCGTAAGAGCAGCCTGACAAGGCTATCTTCTCCCAGCTGTTCCTCCGAGTTCCAAATTGCACAAAAGCAAGGTTGGTTGGACTAGAAAGGAGATTATGGCATAAAGATTAGTTTGAAAATGTCAAGTGCTATGACTCCAGCTATGTAAAGATAAAAGAGGTCAACGTTTAAGAGGGAAGTGAGAGAGGGAGAGCAGAAAGGGGTAGGGAGTAGAAAGCAGCAGAGTGAGTAATACCAATTGCCAGAGAGGAAAATTGTGGAGTACAAATAGAGGGCAATAAACCAAAGTCCAGGAAAAATCAAACTAATACACTGTTCTGACTAATAGTAGTGGGGCAGTTTACTTTTCTTTATGAACCCCATACTCTATTTGGAATATCTGTTCCCGCAATAAAAGCATTTTTTCACACCTCTCTTCAATTTGCCTGATTTTTTTTTTTTTTTTTTCTGCCTACATTGCCCTTTTTACTTCATCTGGGCAAATTTAACTTGTATTTCAATTCCTAGATTGCATGTCATTTATGCTCTGAAGCTTTCCATGATCTCTTTAAACGAACTCCTTCCTCTTGGATCCCACAGCACTTTTATCTTGAATTTGCATGTGATACTATTCATGCGACACTCACATTGTGATCCGGTTCTTTCCAGCAATGATTTATTGAGCTTCTCCTGTGCCAGCCATCATACTAGGTATTTGGGGCAGGAGGTTGGGAGGGGGTTCAGGTAAATTAGATACAAACTCTGCCCTCAAGAAGCTTTTAGTCTAGAAAGGGATGGGGGTATGTAAACAAAGAAATGACACCTTCGTGTTAAGTGTGGCAATGAAAAAGTAAATACAAGGCACAGATTTAGTGCAGAGAAGGTGGTTAGTTTCATCTAGAGATGGAAGAAACAGGAAAGGCTTGCCAAGTAAAATGATGGTAAGTTGTTTTACTATCCTCATCACCTACCAGTGCCTGGCACATAGAGATAGATAAGATCTACCAATATAATTTAGTTGAACAGGTAGGAGTCTGGTTCTAAAATTCAAAGTGTCCAGAAGCCCAATTTCTTTATATTCAAAATCACCTTGTTCCACTGGGGTTCGATCCGGTACCCCTACCTTTGCCTGTGTGCATTTGCATGTTTGAAATAAAAACCAAGCTGTTTTCTTTGGTCAGGTTGTCTGTGAAAACGGCTGTTCCATTTCTGTGGCTCCATTCTCTCTTCATTTACAGTTCTCTTAGTGTATTAACTTTAAAAAAGTGTGTTTCTTTAATTAACTAGTATAAAAATTGTTAGAAATCAGATAAACTAATAGGCTTTTGCAAACTTTGGGAAAAATAACGTTTTCGTTTTTATGGAAGTGTATTTTGCAAATATTAACAATGACTTTGAATAATTCCTACAAAGTTAAAATAAAAAGCATGGATGCCTTTGGCATTAGGGCAGTTTATATCTAATACACTATAATGCAGTAAGATGATGTTGAATCCTCTTTGTTAAGTTTGTCTTTGAAGCCATCAAATTGGATGATTTCCACTAAAGTTTGAATGCAAACTGTGTCTTGAAAGTGAATTCATAAAACAAAGATTACAAAATATAATACTAATCACTTCATGTTAATAAAAGGCTTCCGTATAACTTTAAGGATAGGCAATTTCAGTAACAATTGTTGGCATCTTTGCAGAGCCTGAATGTAACCAAACTGATCATGATAATGGCACATTATAGAATTGCATCCCCACATGTCCTTTTTTAGGCATGACAAAAATAACAGTATTTAACTTAAAGGGCATCAAAATAAATGCACATCGTCCCCATAAATACAGAACCCAATTCACAGAAGACTAGAATGAAGAAATCTGTTAGGTAGCAACCTGACTCTCATTCTCAGCATTTTTAAAACTTATGTTCCTTGACACCATATGGTACAGGGAATAGTAAAGACATCTGAATTCAAATATTTTGAAGAAATGTGTATTTAGCAACTGAATACATGCTAAAAGGAATAATTTACAGCAGCGGTTTCATTACATTTGTCTCTCCAGTTTTCTAGTTCCCATCTGAAATGCAGTGATAAATACAGATATGGAACATATTTACTACCTGGCAAAAAAACATGCTTATTGAATGAGCACACAGCCTCTGCCCTTGAATAGCACATAACCCCCCTTGTCACCTGTGTGGGGAAATCTTGCATTTTAGGATGATGTTGAACACACTGATATGGAGAACCTATATAAAGTTGTAGTTCACTGTCCTTCCACTTATTTTCAAAAGTATTTACATCTCTTTTGCCTAATGTGTAGGTAGCAAAAATATGAAACACGTTACCACTGAAAACCACTAAATTGTACATAAAAGTAGCATTGAGTGTGCATTTACATGCATTTACATTTTACATTGGATTTCAACTGGGCCAGAATTTCTCTGCTGCGATGAACTTTTTCCAATCGTAAGATTGCTGTCAGAACTTGCTTATGGTCATGTGAGCCTCTTAACAAAGTTCCAACTCTGATGATACATGCAATATGCCAAAGTCTAGAAAAACTTAATTAAATGGGACATTATTTTTTCGTGCAAAATGTCCCCCTCAATACACATTGGCAGAGTATGACTGTACTAAGAGTTATCTATCTGCTAGTTATATCTATAATTTTCTTTGAAAACTCAGACCTGATGGTTTATAAAGACATGCCAGAGATTTGCTTCTTTTGTTTCTTTTAATTAAAGTTTAGACTTCCTTTCTCTGGGTTTTCCATAATGCTAAACAAAACTCTGTCAGACACTGGAAGGCATCCCTAAAGTTATCATACCATTCCAATCTGTAGCCCTTCAGATCCATTCGTTTTGAGGACTAATAAGAATTTAGATATTTGTTACTGCAAATAAATCTGTTTCAGCCTCAAATTTCGAAGGAAATGCAACACCAAATTTTAGCACAGTTAAGATACTCTAAGAAAATAAAAGAATTACCTATTTTTGGAGTACTCTCTGTTCTTTGATTAGTATTTCAAACATTTCTTTTTCTCTATAGAAATATGTCCTTCAAATAATTTAAAATTCAAATACCATTTGAGGATGTATTTCTAAAAGTAACACTGTATTCATCAATGGAGCCTAAAATTGAGTGCAGAATATTTTTAGGCTTTCATTTGGAATAGGCATTAACAAATTGTTTATTCAAATCACTAAAACTGAAACATGAGCTCCCATCTGTGAAATATTTCAGCTGAGAATTAAAAAAAAAAAAATTCACTGTAGTCTGAGGTGAGAAATTAATGCTGAGTTAATTAGAATCCCAAGACAGCTAGAGTTAGAATTTCAAGGCTGCTTTCATTAATTAGTGAGAAGATGTTTCCTTTGCATTTTTGTGCATGATGAAGGATCTAGGGAGGGCTTCCTGGAAAGATGAGTGCAGTGCAAGAGAAAACTATCATAATGCTCAAGGTCTTATACACCTTGAAGTCAATGATTCTCAAGGAATCATGTTAGGACAAGGAACAAGGCGAGTCCTTTATTGATCAGCTTTTACCTTATTTTATAATTGCTGCAGGAAACAAAAAGTTTTACATGTTTTGAGTGTGAGCTGTGCCCTGGAAAACAGTTTGTATATAAGTCGCTCCCATCAACATGAAACGAATCATATGTTCCTTAGATAATTGTTTAAAACAAGATGAGATAAAAGACAGCTGATACAGATGTAAACAGAGTTGGGAAATTTGCTTTTAAGAAGTTGTTCTGCATATTACTGATCTTTTTTAAAAAAAATTGAGTGACAGAGATGTAATTCCTAAAGGAATCATGGGAATTTTTTATATCTCAAATATCATGCAGGTTTTCAAGCACAGAATTAAGAGTTTTTCTGTTAATGTTATATTTAAACAATGCTTATTCTTTTCATGAAATATGCAGTTCCTTTTCTCCTTATTGATCCATTAGGTACAACACAAGGCATTTAACAGATCAGTTTGCATCTTCTGATTTTGCTGGTTAAATGCTCTGTATTTTCTAGAAAACATTATGCAAGTTAAACTTAATTTTCGATAATACTTAAAGAAGGGGGAGGTGTTATTTGTTTGAATTCCTCAGAGAAATAAAGCCTAATTTATATGCAGGCTTCAGGAAACAGCGGTAAATGATGTTTAAGTGTTTTTTGAACACTACTGGCTATCCCTCTTGTGGAACTAAAAACACAATGTCGGAAAAAAGCAGCACGCGATTGGAGTTTTTAAAACAAAAACTATATAGCACAATAACTGTAAGACAAAAACCTACTCTAGCTTAGAAAAGAGCTAATTTTTACTGCATATTTGTCATGGTACATTTAAATTATAGTTTTAATAAAATACATCTTTAGATCAAAGCTGAAAGAAGACATCAGTAGTAGATCAGTGTATTCCATTTTTCTTCTGGATGATGGATGGTTTATGTTTTTTATATTTCCACAGACTATTTCATTCGGTATCATTTTACTCCTCCAGTACATATAAACATGAGTGCTGGTAGACAAAAAAATATCCTTGAATCCAACTATATTTTGGAATATTCATCAGCTTCATAAATCCATGCAGTTTATTTTAAACTTTTCAGTTCAGTAAAATGGCTTTGCTGATGCAGTTTTTCTTCTTTAGATGGCAATATGGCAAATGACACTTTTATTTCTCAGGCAAAGAAGAAAGCGAAACCTGTACAATGAAATCTCATAGGAAACATTTAAGTCTGCTAAAGTGAACATCTGCGTTCACCTGACCTCTATTAGGTGTTGGTATTAGGAGGAAAGCCTGTTAGCAAAGTTACTCATGGACTTAATTTATAATTGGGGGAAGTCAGTTGCATTTCCCACCATTGTAAACATCCACATAATGCCATGAAAAAAGTTCATGTATATTGCATTTTTCCAGTTATTACCTAGGCAAGTTTCTACTTGTTTGAGGTTTCTAGAGGTAATGCAGCTCAGACACTCCTGGGTGCCCTCTCAAATTCATGGGTCCGCCTGTTTCTACCTTTCTTATTTTCCTGTAAGTGCTTCCATTTGTTACTATTCCCTTGGTTATGTCCTGGCCTTTGCCGACGCTGTTTTCGGTCCCTTTTCCATACTTGTTCACAGAACTCATCCATTGTGTTCAGGTTGGGGTGGTTGATGAGCTGCATGAAGTCTCTGTACCAGACTTTCTGGCTAGGTGTCATGCTGTTGGATATTTCTTTGGTCTTAGACCCATCTCCATCATCATCTTTATGGAGAAGTTCTTCCAAATGCTCCGTGTCAATGACTTCCAAGGTCACTTTAAGAAGAGTCTGCATGAATCCATGTTCCACGGCATGGCAGAGGTAATTGCCTGAATCCTTCCGTTGCAGGCTACGCAGTAGAAGGCCTTGTTCTGTCCTGATGATATGATCATCCACTCTGATCTAGCAGAAGAGAAATGGTAGCAAAAATATACATATTTAAAGAAAGAGAAGTTCTGGAACTCTGTTTCAGTAAAAATTCAGATTACGTGTTGAGGCACACTTTAACAGTTAATACATGTCTAGCTTAAGAGAAATGATAGCAGCTGTCCATTAGAAATTTCTGTAAATCAATTTTAAGATGCGTTGCAAAATTAAGAAAGTGTCTACTGTCTTAATATAATTTTTCATTATAATTTAAAATATTCAAGATAATAAGAGGATAAAGAAACACTTTATTTTATAAACTTGAAAGAAGGTATATAAATATAAGTGAAAGTTAACAGTAAATCTTGGAAATACAGAACCATGATGTCAGAAGACAGTGCAACGTTAGAATGAACTCAGAGATTTGAAAAAGTTAAAAAATCAGCAGTTCAGCAAGCAGTGGAAAGCAAAGGACTACATGCTTAATAATTACCCACTTTCTAAGTCTTAGATGTGACATAGACATGAAGATGCACTCTTGAATATATCTAACCTCCCTCTTATTTTGAATATAGTTTACAACAGACATTCTGAAACCCTAAGCTGAGAGGGTATAAGATTGTATAAAATCAACTTTGACATTCGTATGATGTGATTACCTATTTAAAGATGCTTCAAATGTCAAAAAAGGCAAGGGAGGACCTTAAACTTTATATTCAGATTGTGTTTATAAAATTGCACAGAATACATTTACCAATCACCTACATGACCTGGTTAGTTGCCCTTATTTCATACTTTTAAAAAGCTTTAAAGGCTCAGAGCATTGAGATTTTCTGTGTACATTTCTTTACTTTTACACAGGAATAAATGAATACATTGAGGAGGAAGATCTGTCTGATGCTACATGCATAGTTCGTATCAGAGTTCATACTGGGACAGCAGACCCTTCATCCTAAATCTCCTACTCCCATTCTCAAACTTTTTCTCCCCATTTGAGGAGGAACTTAATAGAGAAAAGAAAACATGTTTGGATAGCAGAATTAATTGAACAATAGTTAAAATTAGTAGAGGATTTGATTTTTTTCTTTTGTACACAGACATAGATAACAAATTGCTTTGTAGGCAACTACAAGGAAAAAGAAGACTTTCAAATACATTCCCAAATGGCTTCTAGGACAAAAGTCTTATCAGTTTACTTTTGTTTCTCCAGCATCTAGCACAAAGCCTGTTAAAATCAGCCTTCAGGGAATGCTCCTTTAATGAATGGACTATTGATGGGTCAAGAAAAAGATAAGAGATTCACTGTATTTTTTCATCCTCAAATCAACCGTGCTGGGGTCACTTAACATTATACGTTAGACAGAAATAATCCAGTCAATTTCATTCCTATACCTCTTCTTTTCGCTCTTCATTTCGCCTCTGGAATTGCCAATAGACCAGAGCTCGCTGTGATTTTGGGCTGCATTCCAGGAACGTGCTACTATTTTCTACTCCATAGATGATTCTTTCTTCAAGGCTGTGGCCATGGTGATTATCTGGCCGTTGATGAGGAAATGAAATGAGGAAACATTAGAGAAGTAAACTCAACTTTCCAAAGTATTTCTTTGGAAATTCAGAAAATAAATTTGTTGCCTAGTCAGGTGTCTTTTCCAAATTGATTTAGGATGGCAGAAATGTCATGGATGTAAGGTGACAAAACTCAAGAGCCTGCCTAAATAGACTAATTATATTGGTATAAGTTATATAAAGCATATACAGAGATTTGTCTACCAGAAAATAGCATTACAATAAAAGAAGCAGTCATGTGTGCAGTTTAACTATACATCTTTATATGCCGTGGTAATACTTTCCAAGAAATTATTTTAACTGTAAAACTCTATGCTCTCACTAACGGGACCAGTTCATATGGTACTATTCTCTAGCAGAAAAGTTATTTGAACAATTGGAAACAAGACTCTGTTTCTGAGAAATTATGTTCCCTCTTTATGTTTGTTTTTCATCTTAAAATTAAATTCACCATCCATTAATATTTTTTTAAGGTAGAGTTTAGGAAGTTTATATTTCCACCAATAACCCTTAAATAATCTACAAGGTTGTTCTGAAGATCAATTGGTGTGAAATGTTTGGGATGGCTCAGAAGAAAGATGCACAATTATAAAGCAATATGGTTTCAATTGTCCTTATTTTAAAATGATACATCTTCTATTATTTTCAAGAGTTAGGCTAAAGAATATGGCAAGAGTATATAATAAAATGTAGCAATAAGAAAACCTGTTTCCTGATTAAATTTCTATTATTTTACCCTTTATGTAACCTCCTTCAATGTGGTAAATGAAACACAGTTAAGATCAAAAGTAGGACACAGGGAGTCTAGGTAAAACTCATTTAGAGAAGGAAAAAAAAACCCCTCGTTATTATCTTGTATAATCCTGTTTCCATTATGACATCCTGTACAATCTGGAACTCATTAAATTAATTTAGAAAATAATAAATATATTTTCACATGCATGGAGGGCTGACAGTGTAGACAGATGAAAATTTTTTGCTCTCTACTTCAAACTCAGCTAGATTTTTAATTAAAAAAAAATGTCCCCCCCCTTTTTTTGGCATCGCTTTGACAATTTAACTCTCGTTCTAATCAACTGAGAACTTTTGTCTGTCACAGACAACATGATTTGCTCTCACTAGGTTTAAAGCTCTCCAAAATCCTGCTTTTACCTAACCCCTATATACGGTTTATGTCCACCAACTCCTAATATCACCCTGCCACGGTGGACGTTCTGCCTCCATTTGCTATCCCCAGGGAGGTCAATCTCAGTGTTTTCTTTTTTATCACCCTAAACTGTGAAATGAAACTCTTCTAAAAAGTTGGGAAGTATCTGTCCCTTCTTATTTAACAGCTCAATAACCTGGAAAAAGGAAATGACTGAAATGTAAAGGAACAACATTTAACTGATCCCAAGTCACATTTTCCTTTTTTATATTGGAGATCTATCTTTGTATGTCAGTATATATGTTGAATATGGTAGTCTTTTTAATGCACCCTCTGAAATTACTTGTATATCATTGAATGAATGGATATGACACATGTTGCTGTGCTAGTTTGCAAGATATCTGCTTCCCTGGATAGAAGTGAACTGAATCTCTCTGCCTAATGGGCACTGGAAAATCTCCTGTGATACCATGTTTAGAGTACCTTGTCACATAGGTCAGTGGATACATTTTTTTCCCTACTTGCTGTGCAGTTTTAACTTTGATTTAGAAATCCTTTTACTTGGGATATTATTCAGAGTTTATAAAAAAATAAAGAAGAAGAAGGAAATCTGCAAAACGTAGCAACACAGATGAACCTTGGGGAAAACTAAATGAAATAGGCCAGTCACAGCACAAGTCTGTATGATGATCCCACTTACATAAAACTCCTTAAGTAGTCGAACTCCTAGAAGCTGATGTTAGAATGGTGGTTGTCAGGGACTGGGGGTGGGAGGTGGGAAGGGACATGGAGGTGGGAAGGGAAATGGGTAGGTGCTAGTCAATGGGTATGTAGTTTCAGCTATGCAAGGTGAGTAAGACCTTGAGATCTGCTGTACAACAGTGTGCTACAGAGCACAATATTGTATTGTGCACTTCAAAACTTAAGAGGGTGGGTCTCACATTAAGTGTTAAAATAAAAAAAGTAAGAGAAAAGTGTTAATTCAAAAATACTTTAACTTTTAGGCAAAGACTTTTCATTCAATCTCTACGTATTAATGACTCATAAGACGTGACAGCATAAAACAGTAAAAAACATTAGAATTAGAAGCAAACAACATGATGATCCACCAGTATCTTCTGGCCTATCCAGGCCTATTTTTCTTGTAGAACTTTATGATAAGAACTGACTTGTCTCTCACCTAAGTTACGAGAGAGAGATATCTATAAAAATCTTAAGATCTAAGTTCTTCTTTGCAAACACAGAGCTCCTTCGGTTGATTAGCTGACACACAGTAAGGAAGAGCAATGTACCTTGTATAATAAGAAAGCCTAGTATTGGGGCACCTGGGTGGCTCAGTGAATTAAGCCCCTGCCTCTGGCTCAGGTCATGATCTCAGGGTCCTTGGATGGAGCCCACAGGGGATTTCTGCTCAGCAGGGAGCCTGCTTCCCTATATTTCTCTGTCTGCCTCTCTGCCTACTTGTGATCTTTTTCTCTGTCAAATAAATAAATAAAATCTTAAAAAAAAAAAAAAAAGCTTAGTATAGAGTTTAATGTAAATGTAACATCCAGTAGGTACATTTTCAAATATTCATAAAATTGTCTTCTTCCCAATTAATTTAATCATTCTATCTGTTCCATAAAGAGTTTTCTGTTAATCCTTCTTCTAATCCTGGGAAACCTGTTCAGTTTTTAGTTTCTCAGGTTCTCTTGTGGTGACAGCAACTGTTTCCCAGTGCACAAAAAATAAACAAATTAAAAAAATAAAATAGAAGTTTTCTTTTCTTTTTTTTTTTTTTTTGAGAGAGAGATAAAGAGAGAGTGAGTGGGGGAAGAGAGGAAGAGGCAGAGAGAGAATCTTAAAGCAGGATCCACGTCCAGAGCAGAGTTTAACGCCTGATGCACCAGGCTCAATGCTGCAACCCTGAGATCATGACCTGAACCAAAATCAGTAGTCAGATGGTTAACTGACTGAGCCACCCAGACATCCAAAAGTTCCTTAACAGTAAATATTTTCTTATATAAGAAACCATTTCATCTGCTACTTATAGTACAGTCTAGTATAAGATGGTATTTGATTTAATCAAGAATTTATACTAAGTTGCTTTTAGTTTATAATAGCAATAGTTTGTGAAGTTCTTCAAGAAACATGACATTCAGGTAGTTTTCCACCTGAGTAAGAACTACAACTGGAGAATTTAGTTCACTGCCCAGGGGTCTTTACATTGCCTTGATAACTACTCTCACCAACACCATTAGTACTCATCCCCACTTTAAATTTGGCTTTTCTTTCTCTCTTTTGTCCAAATAAAAAAGCAAAAGAAAGTGTTCTAGTTAGTAAGCAATGAAGTTACAAGTTCTGCCATATTAACTATCAATCAGAGTCGGTATGCATAGGTACTATTGTCTTTCTTTGGTTTGAGATTCTCTTATTCTATGTTTTGTTAGATTCTGCTGCCATCAGTAACAACTGCAAAAACTAAATTTCCACTGAATATAGTAGTTTCTATTAATTCTTCTACAGTACAATGTTTCTATCATCCACATATTTTAACTCAGCGCCATAATTTTCATTTAAATTGCCCTAGGCAAGCATCATATATTTGGGTGCTCAGATATAACAACCTATAAGCATTTTTTTCTATTGATTTCCCCATACCTGAAACTTTATAAACAGATACCCGATAAACATTTGAGACCAATTAGAAGGCACTCAATAACTATCCATTTCCTTTCCTGATCCTTCTACCCCAAATGCTTGAGTAAATGTTGCACAACATAGGACACATCAGAATTCTGATAATACTCTATTTCTCTTTCTCCTGCCTTTATTTCTTATGCCCCCTAATCATTGTCTCTGTTTCTATCTTTCTATTAAAAAATATAAACAGGGACAATATTTTGATTCTTGTCTTACTAGATTTTCATTTTTTTTTTCCTTAGGATGCCAAACATACTATCATTTTGACTTTATTAAAGCAAAAAGCTCTATATTGAAATGGTAGCATGGTACAGCTATAGGCTAAATATTTTTCAGTGTATATATTACTGAACTTACAATTATCCAATATAAATCAAAAGCTCAACTAAGAAAAACACTGTTGATTAAAGATAGGTATAGGATAGGAAAGGATAGGAAACCTTGCATATTCAGGGTAATTATAAACGAGGATCTCCCTCTGGATTAAACTAATTGATCCAAGAGCAGTTTACATGGAACACATTGGGTTATTCCCATAATATAACTGATTTTTGTGAATTGTGTTGGATGGGGTCCTTCTGATCTATGCTGAGGAAGCCTAAAAGGAATACTCTATTGATGTGCTCACTGTGTTCATGTCACAATGCTGTCCAGTACGGTGTCCATTGCCATGCACTATTTTCTTGATGTTTACCTTGGGAGATTTTTTTTTTTCTGGTGTTAGTTTTAGGAATTACTGAGATTCTCTTGAGTAACTGATTTTTTTTTTTTTTTTAAAGTAGGCTCCACACCCAACATGAGGCTTGAACTTGCAACCCTGAGATCCAGAGTCACATGCTCTACTGACTGAGCTGGACATGTGCTCTGAAAAACTGACTTTTTAAAAAATTTTTTTAAAGAATTAACTGTGTGGCTCATCTGTTGATCAGTTTTTCCCCTCACCACTGGCTAAAAAAACGCATTAGACAAATTTACGTTCTATCCTTAGAACTTCACAATGACTATGTTCTCCCTTTGTGCCTGGTTTTGTTCTCTCACTATACCTGTTTGTCTGTGTGACATTATTGCTATCTTTGTCTTATCCTTGTTTTTAATCAAATAATTACACATCATCTGAAATATATTATTGGGTCATCTAGC